TAGAGAGACTTTTAGTTTCATTAACTCAGGAAAAATCTAGAAGACATGGAAGTCCTGCACTAAATTGCACTACAATTTGTGTAACAAGAAAAAATTACTCAAGTCAATAGATAGAAATTTCATATGAAAGATACGTGGGGTGCAATGCAGGGCCGGAGCGCCAAGTATAGATTCGATTGAATTCAATGGTTTTAGTTCAAATCATTATTTTATTTTAAAAATTTATTAAATATGTACAAATAATCAATAAGAAACCAGTAATCTAAAAAGATTAGAACCGAAAATCAATAAGGTTCAAGTCTTAGCTCGGCGCCTAGGGTACAATGTGCTAGGTACAGTCATGCACTTGATTGAATGTTAAGTTATTTACCTAGAGGACTAGGAAACGATTTTCACTTAATACATTCTTTCCTTCTTCTTCTTATTTTAATGATCCACTCGAATTCTAAAATCCTAGATTCGGTCACGTCCACCCCTAAGAAACTTTCAAGTGTGAGGCAACTTAGTCAGAACCAAGAAATTTAAAATAACACATGAATAATATCATCAAATTAGTTTTCACTAGAGCAGCCCCTTCAGACAAGGCCCTTTATATTAAATATATATTGGTCAAGATAAAAGGGGAAATCATTTTTGGCCACCAAAAAATTGGTCATTTTCCAATTGTACATCTTTAATTAGCTCTAAAATTATAAAATCCCACTTGTGTGTAGGGTAAGAAGGTCCAATAAGTAACTGTGACCAGAATTCGACTTGGACTTAGGGGGGGGCATTGTGAGACTTGTAATAATGTAAGAATGGTAGGACCAAAAATAAGGTAAAGAGCAGATCCCACTTGTTATATAATTCCTAAATTCTTGATTTCTTCTCCTATAAATACCCTTTCAAAGTATCATTCTTTTTCATCAAACATTTTAATATTCATCTCTTCAATCTTTTGAATAATTCACATCACATATCCTATTTGTTTAACGCATATATACTTTAATTACCAAGAATTAAGATGGAGAACTTCCCAATTATCAACTTGGAAAATCTCAATGGAGATGAGAGATCCAACACTTTGGAACTGATCAAAGATGCATGTGAGAATTGGGGATTCTTTGAGGTAATATTTACATTTTGCTTAAACATACACAACTCACCATGTTTTAAAAACACAAACGTCACTTTCTATATTGAGTAACTCTGTAATTCCAACATCTTGCATTGATCTGTTTAATACCACATGATTTAAAGACTACAGCGTGACATTATTTAATTACTTTCTTAATAAACTTTATATCCAATCAAACTAAGACACATAAAATGAAACAGAAAGTATCGTAATCTTTGCAAATAGATGTTTTTCTTAATATGTTTATGTGATTATTGTAGTTGGTGAACCATGGAATTCCACATGAAGTAATGGACACTGTGGAGAAATTGACAAAGGGACATTACAAGAAGTGCATGGAACAGAGATTTAAGGAACTGGTGGCAAGTAAGGGACTTGAAGCTGTTCAAGCTGAGGTTACTGATTTGGATTGGGAAAGCACTTTCTTCTTGCGCCATCTTCCTGTTTCTAACATCTCTCAAGTACCTGATCTTGACGACGAATACAGGTAATGCAAATACTATACTATACATAGATGAATAGTTTTTTTTTTTAAGTTTATAGTACGTAAATTCATGTCCCAAATGATGCAGAGAGGTCATGAGAGATTTCGCGAAAAGATTGGAGAAGTTGGCTGAGGAGTTACTTGACTTGCTCTGTGAAAATCTTGGACTTGAAAAAGGTTACTTGAAAAATGCCTTTTATGGATCAAAAGGTCCCAATTTTGGGACTAAAGTTAGCAACTATCCACCATGTCCTAAGCCTGATTTGATAAAGGGACTCCGCGCTCATACAGACGCTGGTGGCATCATACTTCTATTCCAAGATGACAAAGTGAGTGGCCTTCAACTCCTCAAAGACGAGCAATGGATCGATGTTCCTCCCATGCGCCACTCTATTGTGGTTAACCTTGGTGACCAACTTGAGGTACAAGATTCACTAAGTGTGTGTGTGCTTTTATCACACTATAATTTAGAAGTAGTACTAAAAAGGGTATTTATGAAAATGTTATAAAACAGGTGATCACGAATGGGAAGTACAAGAGTGTGATGCACAGAGTGATTGCACAAACAGATGGGACTCGGATGTCACTAGCATCATTTTATAATCCAGGAAATGACGCGGTGATCTATCCAGCACCAGCTCTAATTGGGGCAGAGGAAAGCAAGCAAGTTTATCCGAAATTCGTGTTTGATGATTACATGAAGTTATATGCTGGACTCAAGTTTCAGGCCAAAGAGCCAAGATTTGAAGCAATGAAGGCTATGGAAGCTAATTAATGTGGAATTTGTTGATCCAATTGCAAGTGCTTAAAGAAAATGATGATTATGTTCTTGGAAGTTATACAAACCTGGCTAATTAACACATTATTTGCTTATTTAATATCACATAATTATACAAAAGATGGTGTGTGTGAGAGAGAGAGATTGCTGTGTGGTACTATAAAGGGTTCTAAAGTTTGTAATAAAAAATAATCTGATAAATCAAAGCTACTTTATAGTGAGATTTTTATTATACAAATAATTGGTAGTGTCCTGTTCCTCTTTTCATGAAATTACTTTTGTCTTACCTTTATAAGTTAATTTTTAAGCATTCTTAATTCACTGTTGAGAAATTCACTATGACCAAATTTTAAATATCATTTTTACTTTGAATACAATTTTTTTTTTCAAATTTTACAATAAAATATGATCAAACGCCCACTTACATTGCCGTTGGACAAGTCTATTATGATAATTTTTATTTGATGAGACCAGGAAAAACAGAGAAATTTAAAATTAGGTAAAAATGAAAAGGAATAATAATCTCTTATAATTAGCTAGAGAAGGAAAAATAGTTGCACATTATTGTGGAAATTGCAATAGACTATGGGTGTGTTCGCTAGGGAGGGAAACATTTTTTTATTTTCTCATAATTCAGTTGGTCAAATTTTCTTTAGAAAAATAAGTTCTTTAAATAACGAAAATAATTTTTCTAATAGAAATAAAGAAAACAAGTTTCAAAAGTAGTATTCCACGTTCATTCATTGTGTCATCCCCGCTATTAAAATAGGTAATGTAACAGAATCCTTTCAGTTTACTTTTTATGCAAGAAAAGGATAAAACTTTTTTGTCATCAACTTTCTTTTCATGATAAAAAAGTTAAGCCTATAATCTTGACCCAACACTATTTAAGTGTTGTAGAAAATTTATAATTAAAGATGGAAGTTGACGTGGGTATCACATAGTGGGAAAAATAAATACTCCTATTGTAGTAAGAAATAAGAATATATATGAACTTCACTAATAAGATGAGTCAACTTCACTTCAAAGCAAACTACTCTCCCCGTTTCATTTTATGTGGCACTTTTCGAATTTTAAGATTTAAATAAATCTATCTTTAATTGTAAATATTTCATAAATCTTTTAAACATTTAGAATTATCAATTATTGAGACTTACAGTACTTTTTACGTGTAATTTACAAATATATGAACATCATTTCAAAAAAATTGAAGATTTCATGCACAAATTCCTAGTCAAACTTAAACAATTTGACTCTAAAAAATAAAAAGTGTCACACAAATTGAAACAAATGGAGTAATTTCAAAGAAGAAGAAAAGATAAGAAGAACAAAGTAAAACAATTCTGATTTTCACTGTTTAAATTCTTTAACAATATTTTCATAAAGATCATCTTAAGATATAAACTTTATGTTATCAACAATGGCCAATAATTCAGCAGGTATATTCGTCATAAGACAAAATGAATTGAGTCGACGACCACTATCAATAATCGTTTTCCTTGTCTTTTTTTGTTTTTATAAGGGGGGAGTGGGTGAAAAGACAGGGGGATAACCTTTGTACAATCTGTTACTATATATGCTTTTTAAAATAATTTTTCATTCGGTGTTCAACACTCACATTAAAACACTCCTTTAAAAAGGCGCTTCCGTGTACGCAGAAAAATTCGAACCCGAGACTTCTTATTAAGGATGAAGGAATACTTACCACTCTAAGGGAAAGATAATTTTCAGCACTCCATTCATTATTTTTACTAATCCAATTTAAACCCATTTAAAAATAATGATTAATATGAATATTTTATCACAATATTCATATTAACTACTCCCTCAAATCCCAATTTACATGGCACTTTTTTGATTTCAAGATTCAAATAAGTCTATCTTTGATTGTAATATTTTCATAGCTTTTAAACATTTTTGAATTATCAATCATTGCAACTTATAGTACTTTTTACGTAGTTTATAAGTTTCATTTTTAAAAAATGAAGATTTCATGTGCAAATTCCTGATCAAACTTAAGCTATTTGACTCTCGAAAAACGAAAAGTATCGTATAAATTAGAACAGAATGAGTAATAGTATAATCTAAGAGGTTGAAAAATGATTTGCCATATAAATAATTAAATGTAAGGAGTAATACTGTACCATTTTTAGTACAGCAAAGCAATGATATCTAGATTGTAGAGATTAAGTAGATGATAGTTTCATTTAATTGCTTCGACCTACAATGAAATCTAGTAAAAGGGAACCATCAAAACTAAGTTGGGACTGAATAAACCTCGTACTCAAGTCGAAAAAAATCCTTTATATAAGTTACCCCTCAATAAGATATTTCAATTGATTAATTCAAAATCTAAAGTTTTGCGTCATCCTATATATTGTGAATTGATCATTTTATTCTTCAATCAATCATCATCCGATGTCAACAACTAGAATTTTTATAAAGCTACTATGAGGACAAGGAAAATCAGCGGATAAAGTTAAAACTTTCATCAAAAAGAACTCTAGCAGTGTTCCTTTATAACTTGCAACATTTGCATAACATCATGGCACCTTAATTTGTCACAAATTTGTAATGAACTAGAGAATGGCAAAAATTGCTAGTAAAATTTAAATAAGCCATGGGATTTAAGTCATTGTGTTGAAATATGCAAAAACTACAAGAGACTCGTTTCTTCTAACCCAACAGAATCATTGAGCACTTGTTGGCTTGCTAGACCTTCCTAGTTACAACTATAATTAAAGCTTCTAGTACAGATGATAGGCTACAACATACTAATAAGTTACACAAAGATATTTATCAGAGAACCAGACACCAGGTCGCATCACCGGTACAACTTGCTTTCTAGTAGCTGCCTTGGTTTAATCATAGTTGGCAGGACGAACCCAGATGGAGAGAACCAGTTCTACTCCTGGTAGTTTTCACAAATAACACTCTTCTCAACATTTGACAAAATGTTTCTTTACCAGGTGATGGAATCTAAAAATGAAATCTAAGCATGTATCTATACTAAACACATTACAGAAAATTCAAGGAAGCTACGAGCTCTCCAACAAGGAGATAACTCATAAATCTTCTTTAATTGATCTTGTGATGGAAAAAGAATGACCATTTCCTTCATTAACGACATGTACTTCTTCAAGAAGTCACCAACTCTTACAATTTATTGAATGCCAAACACAGCAAAGAAAAGAAGCAGAATCCCTGTTTACGTGTACTGATTGATTGTTACCTCTTTGAACACGAAAATGGCAGTGACTGTTGTTTGAAGCTGGATGCATCAAAAAGCTCCATAAACCTCTGATCTGATACTCTTGCTTTGGCAGCAGCAAAACGCTGGTACTCGTCAAACACAGAAGTTAGGCACCACTTCTGCAATTTTCTCAAGCATCCAACAAGGCAACCAGTTCGGTGCTGGAATATGGACAAAAAAAGAAGCATAATTTAAGTAAGGTACTCTTACTTTGGAATTGAGGCTACAACATAATAAGTAAATATTACACACCTTCCCACGTTTGCAGTGGATCAACACCGGGTGATTTCTAACATCTGTGAGCAGCAGGTTAAAGATATTAGCACAGGAAGATAGCAGTATTAAACTCACTTTGATTAAAAGTTAGTATTGTCGTTTTGAAAGAGCATACCAATTAGAACCCCCAATGCTTCACGAATTTTCTCTTCTGGAATATTTACAAAAGGTTCCTGAGAGCATAATTGTAAAAATCAATCACCAATAATTATTTTTCGTACAAGAACAAAACAAAATACTCTTCTCGGGCACCAAACAGATGTGATCAATCCTTTAGCAGCAGTAAAGTCCAATGAACCATGCTGAAAATCTTCTACAATATCTCAAAAATGCAATGAACCCGGGGGAGAGGACCAAAAAAAGAAAGAACAAGATTACTTGAGCCCTTTTCTATATTTCCAGCATGAGTTTAGTGACTGTTGTTGAGTTATTTTCTTCTATTTTTTAACCTTTTCTTACTAGCAAATTCAAAACCTACCATTATTTTTGATTAATCTCAAGATGGACTCATGGACCATGTCGACATTGATTGCCGCGTTAAGCAAATCTCAAGCCTGGAATAGAGTGTGACTCAAGCATATCTTCAGGAAACCCTTATAGCTATTGATGAGGTAATAAAAACAAGCTAAAAGGAAAGGAATCAGGTTCTTTTTTAAAGTATAATTTTTTACCGCATATGCGGGAATATAGAGTGTAGTCTGTCACCCAATAACTGAGACAGACATTTGAGTTTTGACAGTTAAGCTGGGACAAGAGAAGACTGAAGCCAACAACCTACCACACATAGCAACTGGCTGGTTAATCATAAAGCCATAGAGAGACAAAAGGAAATAGGAAAATTTTTGCTAATTTCAGCAGTTAGATGTTAAGATAGAAAGACAACGATCAAGCAACACATCATTTGATCTCTGCTTGAAGATCCAAAAGAAACACTAAAGCTTTACCAATCAGTTAAATGAATGAAATGGAAGTCTATAACTAAGTTTTAACTTTTAAGTGATTGCCAATGTGCCTTGTGTTTCTGCACCTAACCTTTCCATTGCCATGCTCTCTCTCTCTCTTCACAGAGAAGAGGAGGACTATCCTATTTAGTTAGTCCTAGAAAAAATAGCTACACAAAAGTTGGATCTAATGAAACCCAGATCACAACTCACAACCAGTTCGGAAGTATTGTTACTTCTAATTATTGAAATTCATGTGCTCTATGCTCAAGCGAAATTCAGTGATTTGATATTAATTCTTCCAAGCTACAATTACAACTTAAGCATAATTCAAGTTTAAACATGACTAGTCATGACTAGACCTTCTCAACGAGGGGTAAACTTAATGGTACTACAGATGGTTACTATGAGACATGCATAACCAACAGAACAAAAACATATAGATACAAAAAAAACTTAAGCTAAGGTCTTACGAGGCAGACCTAAGAATACAAATAATCCGAGATTTCCAGTTAATACATATCTTCTGCTTTCTATACAGATACAAGGATTACAAAACACACAAGTGTTGAGGTATACGAGTAGGACATAGAATCTGGAAGGTTGATAGTCAGTGCCTTCTAAAGACACACCTAGTGCGCATAACTAAGAGAGGTAATTGTGGTGCCAACTAGGTGGTGATTTAAACAAGGATATGACTGGAAAGACAATGTTTTGAGTTTTAGAAGTAGATTCTCGCAAATCAAAACAACAATCAGAAAAAGAAAAAAAAAAAAATAAACATAGCAAGACTTCCACTGATTCTTTTCTCTAAAGCAATACTTGTGGTTATCCTTAGATCATTATTTGTATCACTGGAAAGTAGTACTAATAATTTAATTTCTAAATCCTATGTGGACCATGGCCTTTAAGATCAGCAACAGCCAAATTCTAGACCTATCATCTTGAGGCATTCTCCAAAATACAATAAATTATTGTGCAGCTTTTCATCACAATCCGAACCCTTCACGAATTAATTTTCCTTTAACTTCTGAAAACCAAATATTGACATAGTCAGTTTATTACATCCTTCCACATGACTTGAGCAGAAGATCACCATACGATGCGGACAGAAAATGAATTAATTAAATCTTGGAGAATCATGTATATTATGTACAGATACAAATAAACAAGCATCATTTTATGTATTCTGCCAAAATCTTATGTTCAAAAAACTGTTCCATAGTCCTCTTTTTCAATGAACGGTAATCCTATAAACGCCAAAGTTAACTGATTTTTCCGAAATCTAATTGGCCGTGCTTTCAATTATTTTAGTGTTTTTCTCTCACCTTTAACCTTCATCATCTCATTTCTAACTTGAAAAAAATTGGCATTCTCCTCTCCGTCAAGTCAATTCACGAATTTACCATATTTAGCTTCAGATATTAAATGTGTTGATTTTACTTTCATCTTTCATCTCAGATCAACGGAAAGAAGCAAATCTATCAACATCAGAGAAAATGACAAACGTACTTTGCTATTTTTAATTCCAAACTGAAACAAGCGAATATCATTTTCCTTGAGAAACTCCATGTTTGCTTCTGGATATGGCTCTGGACACAGGTATCTGTCAACAAAATAAAAAATCCCTAATTCATCAATTCTCGTCGTCGAAAAACTTAAGCTAAATAACTAGTACTATCAGAACAGTAATACTAATTAACTTACATAATAGAACGAAGTCCAAGCGTTTGAAGAAACGAGAAGTTATCTACATCAGGGAAACCAGACCGGAAAATGCCATTATCAACCATAGCGAAGTTAAGAGGAGGAATGAAAAAGTCTTCCTCGTTGTCATCGGCGCAACTGTAATTAACTTCAAAATCATAGGGATTATCGTCGGCGGTTGGTACCGGTGAAAGCTTAATAGCTTGCGGCGGAAGTAGCGGCTGAGAACGGTGATGCTGCCGCTCGACGACGGCGATTTCGATGGTTTTACACGTGTCAGCTGTGGAAGCAACTGTTGCGTGCTGTTTCATAGTGACTGAAGAGAGAGAGAGAGAGAAGGGTTTTTGAAAATTGAGTGGAATTGGAGATTCTGATACTATAGGGGAACTTTCTCGATTTGGAACTTGGAAATTTATAGGCGCAAAAAAATTAGTGACTTTTTAGACGAGGGAAACAGTTTTCTAGGGGCATGGGGTAAATAGTGGGTGGGGTGGTTAAAATGCGCCATTCCACGGTGGCTGCTCAATGTCGACACTCAGTACACGTCAATGCATATGCTTTTTGAAAAAACAAAAATAACAAACTAATCATCTAAATTTAAAAAATCCACTCATTTAACTAATTTTTAAATTTATTTTTCAATGTATTTGGGGAGGAGGAAAACGGAGAGGGGATTACCGATTATAGAGTGGGGATTGAATGCTCACCATAAATATAAAAGTATATATTGTGAATCAATTGAATTATTAAAATTTTATAATTAATTAATCTAATCAAATTAAAACATGAGCTTTTTATTGAAAGATTCTTAAACATGAATTAAAAATTTTAATTCATAATGAAAGTCTCTTTGTTTGATTATTAAAAATTAAGTGATTTAGTATAAATACAATATGGTAAATATTTATCATCAATCTAGTCCTCTTATTTTATCTTGGCATCCATGGGAAATTGTATACACGTGGCATTAAGTAAACTTCTAGTGTTTATGAAGTTAATTTTTGAGGCATTTTTCATTTTTCAAATTAACTTAATTGTTTAGTTTTTAAGACTATTTTTAAAGTGTTCTTCCAATTTTACCCTTCATTAGTTAGTATTGGAATTAGTGATTAATTAATATTTAGTTATTTTAATCATAAATTTGACAATAATTAATAAGGGTAAAAATGGAAAACTAGGTTCAATTTATGTCTTAATCTACTTTTTTTAAAGGGTGTAAAACACCTCAAAAATTAACTTAATATGGAATGAAGTGAGTAATAAATTCTAGTGTTTATTAATAAATACTCTCTCCGTCCCAATTTATGTGGCACTTTTCGAATTTCGAGATTCAAATCCATCTATCTTTGACCATAAATTTTTCATATTTCTTCTAAATATTTTGAATTGTCAATTATTGTGATTTATAGTACTTTTTACGTAATTTATAAAATATATAAATTTCATTTCAAAAAATACGAAGATTTAATGTGCAAATTCTCGATCAAACTTAAATTGTTTGACTCTCGAAAAATGAAAAGTATCACATAAATTAGGACAGAGTAGAAAATATTACTCTATTACATAAATATTTTCATATGATTTATTCAAACATTAAAGTGGGGGGTAAGTTATTATAGGGTTATGTAGGGAAGATGGTGTGGGGGATTGGATATATTAGAACTAGAGTGGGAGAAGATAATTACTGTGAAATATCATTTACATATTTTTCTTCCTTCAATCTTTTCAAAATTTTATATATATATTTAGGATTTTATCATAAAACTTCATAACAAAAAATTATCATGGAGTAAAAGTCAAAAATAGAAAATGAGAGGTAATAAGAAAAGGGATGTATAACAACAAGTAGGGTTGTGGGACACAATTTATGGTGGAGTGGTAAATACTCATTCATTATTAACCACAAGTTTCAGGTTTGAGTCCCTGAGAATAAAGTCATACTTTGTTAGGAAGCGCTAATACTTTTTGATGCACATTCAAATTTAGTCGAACTCAAATGTGAACATCGAACATCGATCAGGAAAAAGAAAAAAAAAAGACAGTGCATTTGAATTTAAGAATATATAAAATTCTAAAAAGAGCATTTCTTTCTTAAATGGACCATATTTAATTTATGTTATACTCGAATCATTCCGTAATGCTATTTATCCTTTGATCTTGTTTTTTAAAATTGTGCTAAAATAGCCTCCACCCTAAAGCTAAAAGTTGGAGTTCATTCCTAATTGATAGTCAGAAAAACTTGCCTTGCCACAATTTGTGATGGATCGCCAAGAGTTTGATGAATAATCTCAATTTGCTATAATTAGCAACAAATTACCAGAAATTTTGTACAAATTATATTGTAATTATGGAATAAATTATGCAAAATAATGGAAGATCATCAAGAGTTTCTAAATGATGAGTTTGCCACTTATTCTTGCGAATTACTAGGATTTACTTGAAAATGTAACATAACTGTGAAACAAATTATAACCAACTCCTAATTTGATATATAACAACATTCTAATACGAATTTAATTAATTCTCAGTGTTATATATATTCAATTTAAACCTTAAAAAGTTAAAGATCATGTCTTCTTCAAAATCAAATTAAACAAAACTCAATAGACAATAAGTTTTTCAATTTTCTGTAGCAGATACAAATTTAATTAATTCAATAAATTTTGAATATTAAATAATTGGAAGAAAAAAAATGCATGAAAAAAGTTGGTATTTAGAAAGAGGTAAGGTAAACATAAACGTGGTGATCACGCGTTGGTTAATTGTCAACTATCCCTTCGAGCCCAAGTTTTAACTTAAATAAACATAGGGAAAATAGTTTGAAAGACATGATATATTATCTATGACTATTTAATTTACATAAATTAGCCTAAATAATTGTTACATCATAGACTATTGTGGCAAGTATTAAACTAATATTATTATGTAAATGTTATGAAACACTTTATTCTATGTCTTATATTAATCGTGTGGGACTTTTTATTGTTTCACAAGTTGGTAAATGTATTTGGCTATGAAATTTTGTATTATTTTCTGAAGTTGAACTTCCGAACAGGTTTGATCGTAAAATTTTAAGTTGAATTTCAGATTTCAAAAACTTGAAAAACCATTTTAAAAAATTATTATTTTTCCACTCTGAATATCTCACAAAAAGTCAAAAAAATAACTTTATTATGTATTTTTGACCAAACATGAGTCCAATTTTCGAATATCATATTTTACTTTGATAACAAAAATTATTTTTTGTCAAATTTCGTAACGAAGAATAACCAAACACACACTTAATTTTCAATTTTAAGTTTTCAAATTTTGAAATCCATTAATTAGTTAGACAAAAAAAAACAGACACAACTAATACTAATATATTTTTTACGTTAAATGCTATGAAAATGGAAAACTTAATTAGTTATCTTGCACAACTAATATAAATTGTACAAAACTTCTTTTTATTTCACAAATTAATGAACTCAACACTTACACTTTTAGTTTTAGATCAATAAATTTTAAATTCACTACTTTGTAAGATGAAAAAAAAAAGGGTCACATAATTAGTGCCAGTTATATGATACACAAAATATTTTTAAAAAAAATGTTATTTATAAATAATATATGGTCAATATATATAGATTCGCCAATTGATCATACGAATGACATATCTCAATTATTAGTGAATAGAGATGACTTTTCCAATGACAGATTCTTTTCGTAACAATGGCTATTACAACTTTTGCTTTTCTTCCTTTCTTTTTCTCCTTTTTTTTTTGTTTGATGCCATGAGCGAAAAAAAAAAAAAACAAAGCAGCATGTCATTTTGAATATTGCTAAATATTCCAGCTATGTTGAAATAATGTAGACCAGAAGAACAAAAAAGCTAGTCAAGACAATTATTGATTCTTGTGTATTGGATGAAAAAATTATGATTTTTTATATAAATTTAGGTGATTTCTTTTTCATGAGTTCAGATTGAGTTAGTTCAAAATCTGTTGTTTTACCTGGTATTAGAGTCGGCCCATCTCAATTTATAATTATCGATGATATGTCCTCATAGTAAATTGTCTACACGAAGTGGTACTAAGTTTTCATAATTAAACTGTCAATGCACTAGATATTTGGGAATTATGGATTTGAGCAATTCTCTTATTTTGAGTTAGCTTTTGGGGTTGGGTTAGACCCAAGATTATTTTTTTTTACATCATATATTGCTCGATATTTCAGTTCTTAATCTACCTTTATTAACTATAGTCATTTCCTAAAATATTGAATATTATTTTCATCTATCTACTTTTACTTGCCCACTATATAGTATTAAATAGATGTCTACTTTTACTTGATCAATTTGAAAAATCAAGATATGATCTATCACTCAATTCCTAATTTACCCTTATTATTAACAATAATTATTTCTCAAAATTTTTGAATTCGTTATATTTAAAAGGTGATATGATAAAATTGTTATTTTATTATTATTTCTTAAGAAATATGTCAAGTCAATACCGAATAAATATAATTAAACGAGGATAATTCTTAAGGAATATTATGTCAATTGTATAAGTTAAACATGGACAAATAAAATGAAAGACGGACAAAGTACTAATTACGATGATTATCATTTCCTTGGCTTTCATGTGCTTTCTTATGCAAACATCACTAGATGCCCTTACTTTTCTTCAACGTTCACTTTCGTTAGCAAGTACAAAATAATGCATCAATATGGGCTGTGATACAGTAGTGAGATTGTTTTACCTTTAATTAGAGGTCTTGTATTTGAGTCTTGGATATAGGAAAAATCTTATTGGGAGCGTCACCCTCGAATGGGCCCTTCAATGTGCGATTTGAATTTAGTCAAGGCTCCAATATGGGCTTCGAACACCGAGTGAAAAATAAAAAAAGTACAAAATAATGCAATTTAAATTATCGGTAAAGCGCCAAAATTGTCCATGTATTCTATGTCGAGGGATATTTTTGCCATCCGTTAATAGTAAAGTTATTTTTTATTCCTATCTTAATGTTCTATTTTCTAAAGGCGGAATGACCTGGGAGACTCTTGTACTTGACTCCGTTTGTAAGTTGAACCCTCCTACTTATCAATTTGTCAACTGAACCCCTAAACTCATCAAAACGTAATATTTTAAGCCCTTTCTTCATCTAATTAGTGTGTGTGAAGTACAATTGCTTACATGTGGACTTTAAGAAATTACATGTTTAAAAATTAAAAAAATCAATTAAGCCACTTTTGTAATTTCTGGAAATTTTAGATAAGCATTTTTTTTAAAAAAATAAAAATTCCAAAGAAGCATGTTCTTCATATTTATTCCACATTGTTCAGTAAATTCATGTCAAATAGATGAGATTTTTCCCCATTTGACTTGAAAATTCAAATACAAGTTC